TTCATTGCTTCATAACAAAAGGACCGAATTACCCCTAAGATCACATTTACTATAGAAAAAATCAAATAAGGAAACTGATGAATTTGGAAATTAAAACATCTAAATTTTAAAATTTTCTTCTATTAGAACTCTTTCTCTCTCTATATTTTAACTAATTACCCATGGCCGAAGGCATGGAGTAACAAAAAAAATATTATTTTCAATTAAAAGACATACAAAATAAAAGAACACTAAGGACATTAAAGAACAACAAAAAGCAACAAACCTGTGCCTGAAAGCATTATGAAACATAAAAAATTGAAAATTGCTAAACTCGAGCAATTTGTGCATTCGAAATATATTTAATGGCGATTTGTTGTTTAGACTGTCACAAACACCTTTATTAACACATAAAAATGGCCAAATTTTTTCATTTGGTCAATGATTAGTTGTAATTTCAAGCTTGGTGGTGGTGATGATGACAACGATGAAGGTGGCCAATAAAGTTACCACAAACTTTGTCAAGATAACCTCAAAATGACAAAATAAATATTTAGTACCAAATCTATGATAGGCTTCACCATTCTAACAAAATGTGTGCCAAAAAATCCATTGGCATATGATACTATTTTTAGGACGCCTTTCATATATAAATTAGAAAAGATAATTACGCTCAAATGAAATTAGTAAGCATTATTTTGCAGACTCAGTATGCCTTTGTATTGGTCCTTATAGCAAATAATATTAAAGTGACAATATATATGCAAAATGATATTTACACCCACATGTTGATGTGTGGGTGAGTGCAACATTTTCTTAACCACTCAGCAAAAGATAGTGAGGAAAAGGCCTCTATTATTTCAAATTTTGCTAAAAATAAGTAGCCCAACTCCATTCCCAAAGATATGGCTGGTTTTTAGGATATAATAATATTTTTTTGTACATGAAGATATTAGAGAGACTTTTTAGTTTGGCATTTACAGTGACTCTGTTGTTTAAAAAGAGGATATGATAGGATATTGTAGTTAAAAAAGATAAAGTAGGAGATAACGAGAGTTCAAGGGAGTTTAAAAATAGGATATGATATTTTTTTTTTAAAAAAAGAGATAAAGTAGAATTTAAAAATAGGATACTTTGTTTGCTGGGTTTTTTTTTTTTTTTTTTGTCGTGTGAGAGTGATAGGAAAATAAGAGTGGGAGAGTTTAAAAAGAGGATAAGATATTATAGAAATAAACCAAGTAAGTTTTTCTAAAATTAAGAAGTCAAAAAAAGAATTGAGGTTTGAGAGCCTCTCCTTGTTTGTAAATACATCTACATATAGTATAGAGATATGTACAAATATATTATATAGATATATAGATACATAACTAAATTCAAAATTTAAACAAATTTTAAATTTTTAAATTTTAGATCTTTTCTAGATTAGATTATTTCTCTCTAACACTCCTAAATTTTANATATAGTATAGAGATATGTACAAATATATTATATAGATATATAGATACATAACTAAATTCAAAATTTAAACAAATTTTAAATTTTTTAATTTTAGATCTTTTCTAGATTAGATTATTTCTCTCTAACACTCCTAAATTTTAGGTTTCTCATATTATAACTTTTTCTTTCTTATATATATGCACACATACAGATGTGATCAAATTAAATCTAATACAAAATTAAAATTCCTTAAATTTAGATTCTTTCTAAAATAAGGATTACTCTTTTATTTGATATATATATTTATACACACACACACACTGTTAAAATTCAAAATTTAAAAATCCCTAATGGTAAAGTTTTTAAAAAGTATGATTCTTTCTCTCTCTATATAACATGTTCAAATTCAAAATTTAAATCTCCTTAATTCTAATT